TTTCTTAAATTGTTTTCTAAAGTTTTTATATAAATACATTAAATACTTATAGTATATTATTTTTTACTGTCAAATATTTTATATTACTATATTTTATAAGTTGTTTAGTTATTATATAGCAATCAACTAAACTTAGCTTATCTCTATTAACTAATTAATATATTTACCTGCATCAATTAAATAGTACTTAACAATTATAATTAAACAATTCAATAATTAATATAATCACATATTAAATATTTATAAATTACTTTTACTATAATATCACTAATGTAATATAATATTGATTTAAAAGTTTTACATACAATAGGTTATAATTAACTTAAAAAAATATTTAATGCATTGATTAGATTATTAACTAATTAATAAAACTATACATTTTATGCTTGTTTGCAATAAAAATAATATTATTAAAATATTAAAATATTAACATTAAAAAATAGTATATACACAATAATAATAAAAGAAATAAGTAATAAATTGCAAGTGCTTAAAAAAAATAGATAATTAACAACTTGTTCTTTTTAATATAAATGGTTGAATTTTATAAGACAAAAAAATAGAATAATATATTTAAGATTACAAGTACTAAAAAAGAAAAAAATGAGTTAATAAAGAAGTTTTAGTCAAAACAATATTAAAAATTCCTTAACTTACTTATGGCAACATGAATATTGAACCAAAATAGTAACCAACTTGTTATTTTTAAATTTAATACTAAGTATCAATTACTTTTTAAATAAATATTATAAGATGAATATTATCTTAACATTAAAAAAAAAAGAATAATAAGATAAAGCATTATTATACTAAATAAGAATTAAACAATAATTTATAATATTATTGCTATTACTTATAGTTAATGATTTTATCAGTTATATCAAAACCAGTTTTTATATTATTCAACATAGATTATTATATGACTCATAACAGCATTATTGTTTATTGCACAGCATGCACAATCTTTTATCTTGGTATTACTTTTCTATTTTATCATTTACATTTTCTATAATCACATTATCATGACATCTGATAGAAAGATTCAAGTATAGCACCTTTTATTTTATCTCCTACAATATACAGTATAATAGTGAAATTTTTAAAAATCCAAAATCTATTATGCTAATTATACTAAAAACGATAAAAAACCTAAAGAATTTAAAGAATTTATCTTTAATCCGAAAATTTTTTTGTAATCTATCTTCTTAATTATGCAGTATTATTAATTAAAAATCATCATTAAAAATAATTTTTGTCTAAATATTAAAAAATATAATTGATCAAATAATATAATAACAATAATGATATATTTGTAAAGCATACTTCTGAAGAACAAATCCAAATTTAGAAAAAACCATTGTAATTAAATACCTTATTGATATTGAAAATACAAACCCTATTAACAAAACTACTGTATATAAAATATTATTGGATTAACAATACTTTATTAAAAATAAAATTAATATAATGTTAAAAAAAATCAAAGTTTTAATTTCAATTTCATAAAATATTCTTGTGATGAACTAAAAAAATAATGTAGGAATAATCGGCGACAATCAGGACGCGTCGCGTAATAATGAGAAATGATGGTAGAATGATGTAATAATGTGATAATGGCATGTGATAGGGTGGACTCGTCAACAAGATAGGATAGTTTATTGTAATTTGTAGGGAGAGAAGAGCTTAGTTTGGTTTTTCTCGCGCTTTATTAAATAAATATTATTTTACTTCGCACAATAAATATTTACACTCCCTGGGGTATAAACTAAGACTACCGCCACTACAGTAAAGAAAAGTAATATTTAAAAGAAGAAGCAGAGCTACCTTTTGCACCGTAAAGAGAGACACTTGTAATCTTGAGACGCGCCTAGAGAAAAAGACGGTCAAGAAGAGATTAGCAAGTGCGAAAGTCGGTCAAATTGTAACCGCCTCAGAGTTAAATCCTTACCTTTATAAGCAATATGCAAGTATTAAAAGTTATCATGGGAAAGTTGGCGTCTTCGATTGGGCTCTAAATTGGGACTTTTTAAATGGGGAGAAACTTACATTTCGTACAAGCTGTACTCTATAGAAGGAGGACACAATAGGAATGGGACGTTGCAGCTTTCAATATCTTCCTGCTGGAAAATATGAAAATCGCATTGATAAACCTTCACCGATTCACAAGGCTTTTTACTAAAAAGCTTGAAAGATGAATTTAAAAATGCAAAAGAAAAAAGCAATATTTAAGTTTAATGTTTCTTGATATAGATCATTAATGATGATAATAGCCACGAGGCTGGAGACTATCTTTTAATATAATTGGCAAATTTGTTCGTCCTGAAGATATTTTTGCACGATATGGTGGAGAGAAGCTTACTATTCTCCTTAAGAACATTGGCGTGCATTCGAACTTCGAGCTTCTGTTGAATTTCATCCATTTGGTTATGAAGGAAAGAAATGGACTATTACACTTAGCATTGAAGTATCGGTGTAACTTTTAACGACTTACTTAAACATGCTGACGGAGCTATCTATGTATAGAGCAAAAAAATATGGTCATGATCGAGTAATAATGTGGGTAATGAATACAATTATTTGAATAGTAAGTTTATTCGATTTATTTTTTTCCGTAAACATTATAACAAATCCTAATACTTTTTGGTATCCATTAATTAAATTTATAGAAACGGTAAGTACACTTTTTACTTGAAATATTTCATTCACACCATATAACATAATTATTTATTATTCATGGTTATGATAAATAATTTATTTAGGATCCCTTAAAGTTTTCTTTATACGTTGAATCTGCAGAAAACGGAAATGATTGTTGGGATCAGAACCTCCTTGGTTATTGTTACGAGGAAGTAATTGAAACCACTCAAAACTACGAGAAAGCATTTCACTAGTATCTAAAATTAGCGATAAATGGAAGTACAGATGGACAAGATAGGCTTGGAGCGTGTTACAAAAATGGAATCAGGTCTACTCAATACTACGAAAAAGCATTTGAATGACTTCAAAAATCTGCCAAAAGCGGAAATCCTAATGGCAATTAAGTCATGGGAGATGTTACAGAGAAGCAAGCGGGACCGCCCAAAACTATGAAAAAGCATTTTATTGGTTCCAAAAATCGGTAATCAGAATTTTCTTGCATTTTGTTATGAAAATGGAACGGGAATCACTCAAAACCACGAGAAGGTATTTTATTGGTACCAATAATCGTCTGAAGGCGGAAATACCACTAGACAAAAAAATCTTGGACATTGTTATCAAAACGGAATTAAAACTACTCAAAACTGCGAGAAAATATTTTATTGGTACCAAAAATCAGCCGGAAGTGGCTTGGAAATTGCTATGAAAATAAAGTTTGAACTAAGAAAGACAAAAAATATATTATTGGTACTAAAAATTGATCGAAGGTGAAAATATCGATGGGCAGAATTCTCTTGCACTTTGATATCAAAACGGAACTGAAAGCATTTTATTGGTGCCAAAAATTGGCCAAAGGTGAAATACCGCAGGACAAAATAATCTTGGACATTGTTATCAAAAAACGGAATTAGAACTACTCAAACTGTGTGAAAACATTTTATTGGTACCAAAAATCGGCCGAAGGTGGAAGTATCAGTGGACAACATAATCTCGGACGTTATCAAAACACTTGAAACCGTGAGAAAACATTATATTGGCACCAAAAATCATATGAAGGTGGAAGTATCGATGCGCAGAATGGTCTGAAGGTATACAGTATTATAAAATTGAGCAGTGTCTGTAAAGTATCAGAAACGGCTCCATACAGATAATTCACAAATAATCTTAATAATCGAGATTTAGAAAATTCCTGGAATAGCGAGAACAGCATTAATTAATTAGACATTTATTAAGTACAGTAAATTATGGCGTTTATAGCATGAATATAGCGTTTATCTTGAGAATTAGTTTATTTTTTATATGTAGCCTATTTCGATTATATAGTGTATTTGTCTATTTGTTCATTTCGTCGATTTAATTTAAAGACATGTATAAAAGCAACGAGAATATTGAATCGAATAAAGTGGAAGTTAGAAGTTCTTGTTAGTCTAAAAGTTAGTGAGAAGAAGCCGTTAATGATATGACTTTTTAGCATGTGATAATGTAACAGTCGTCGGCGAGCCTGTTGCTGAGAATTAACAGAATAGTAATTTTTTTAAAATTAAAGAAACAGTTTTTTTTATCTTCGCTTCGCGCAACCGTTAATCAAGATAAGTGTTATGAAAGGTGTAAAGCGTATTTATTTGATCGAGGATTAATCGATTAATTGATTTATTATTATTATTATTATTTTGATTGATTTTTATTCTTCTTTTTATACTTTGATTATTTACATCATTAAGGATGACTGCCACTAGAGAATAACAGCGACTATATTACATAATTCTTTTTCGCAATCCCTTCCTCCTCTATAATTAAATAATTTGGACCGCCAACCAGAAACAGGTTTCTCGCGGCGATCCGTCACGTGGCTACGTCGCGTCCCCCCCAAACTTACCCTGTTACAATAGTTTGTCATGACGTGTTTATGAATAAGTGTTTTGGGCTTTTTTGTTAGATGTAGAATTTTGAATTAAATCATTAAGCTTCTAAACCTTACCTTTACTTTGTATATTGTATCCAGTACAATGCCAAAATTGACTTAAGTTTGAATTTATTAGGCTAGGATAACCACAGAAATAGGTTATCGGAACTTCAAAACAAGGAGAAAGCAAATTGTTCGTTTAAAGGTCATGATGTAAAAATTTTCATCGTTAAATCTTGATTAATATGCTTTTTAACATGTTTATAACGAACAGAATTTCTGAAATGACAAGTAACTCTTTGTCAACTTACCACTTTGCATCAATAAACAGATGAAAATCGCGATAAAAAAGAATATAAATAAATACACATTGCAAAAGTAAAAATAACAGTCACGAAATACCGTAGTTGGACTATCCACCTGTAGTATTATTATTCACCACACGAAATTATTGAGACGATCATTTTATCTGGCACTGTCTTCCATAATTGGTTTGAATATCTTTAGCTGGCTTTGGATCGACAATTCCGATAGCTAATTTCGGATTCAATGGCGTCAAATGATTTAACAAATAAGCACATGTCATGAAGAACAGGAACAAATTTCTTTTAATCTAGTAGGTTACCAAAACCGATGAACAGTTAAAAAATAATTAATTTGGATGTCGTGCATGGGGCACCGTCTAGATGATCAAGATAGGGAAGAATATTTATTACATCTACAATTACGGCGTTAATGCCTTTGTAGTTTTCCGGATAGTTCTGTAAACCGTTTATACTAGGTGAATATACATTCACACGATGCAAATGACCACAAAGATAGAAGCTTGTTTCATTACTTATAGAAAACAACACTTTGTTTATAATGTACAAAGAATTTATATCAACCAAGAACATGCATACATTCGTAGTTCTCTATTTCTATATAAAGACCTGCTCGGATTTTCAACTATTCTCATCAATCTACATTCTCATCTCTGGAGTCTAAACCTTATACTATATAATCTTTCATTAACTTTCTTTGACATCACTTTCGCCTTCTAAAAATGAAAATATCCC